TCGTGCGCACGCGGATCCAGCCCAAGATCTCCGAGCTGCGGCGCCGCTACGCGTCGCAGGAGCGGGAGCTCGGCCGCAGGGTGCTCGAGGGGTGGGCGCCGCGCGGGGCGGGGGGACCCGCGCGCGCGCGCGTCGACCTCTCCGGGATCACCGCCATCCGCAACGCCATCGTCTCTGAAGTGGATGGCGGGGAGCGATGGAGGCGCGCGGTGTGGAACAGGGAGGCGGAGGCGGAAGGGGGGATGGAGTGGGAGGTGGTCAGGATGATACGTGACGGCATCAAGGAGTTCGAGCGCCGGAGCCAGACCAGCGAGATTTTTGAGGGGTTGCGCAGTACCGGCGAGCTCGTTGAGAAATTCAAGTCCAGCCTGGTAATTTTGCACATCCATCTCGATAATTATTCTAATTAATTGAGCAACGTTGCTGGGCCTGCTTTGATTGGGTGGATTGCCCTGGGAGGTTTGTAGAATTTGTTTTTTAGGAACCAACTCAATGTCTCATACAGTATGCGATTAGGCTCTAAAGAATAATCTGAACCAAGCAGACTGGGAGTAAGGATCATATTGCTATCGTGATGAACTCTGGTACTAGTTACTTCATTTATATCAAGAAACTGCAGAGCACCTCCTGAATGTAGGCATCATTAAATGACTACGGTGAAAGCAGGGATAAACGTTGTCATGACTACTTATGACTTGTGAGATGATAAATGCTAGTATTTAAAGAAGTAAATGAAAAAAATATATTTAACCCCAAGTGTAAATGCTTGACCTTTACTAGGATTATTCAGTTTCATTTACATGCATGAATTTCGGTTCTTAAGCAAGTGTTTATTCTGTAGTCCCTTGTTTCAATTTCAATGGAAGAGGAGTGGTGATCAGATTTAAGTTGCGGTTGCTTAAGATTTCCATTAACCTTGCGACAAATCTCTGCTCAACTGACAAGCTGGTGATAGTGCAAACCTCAAATGAATTATCGTGTCCAATATGTATACTCAACTGCTACAGCTGGCTTATATTGTGTTATGTGAGCCTCATAGTTACTCATTTTTGGTGCAGAAATCATTCAACATGGAGTCTCAAGGATCCAAGGTAAACCCAAAAACCACTCTAATTATGATTATATGGTTAACTCATGAGAAGTTGCATAATTTGATTTTGTCAGGCATAGTTGTGGTGAATTTTGTGTTCTGGGCATTAATTTTCCCTTGGTTGGTTTTATCGGTGGATGGTGATTTAAAAAAACTGCATGGGCGCCAGTACTTTTCTTTTATGCGATATTATCAGTGTGTTGGATCTTGAAAACATATATACTTTGTGCCTGATATGAACACTGAACTGTGAAACTTTCCAAAAGAAAGCAGCAACCATTTGTCTAGATATTTGATTGATAATGCAAGCGCAAAGATATTTCATTACATAGTATATATTGTTGTTAACTGAACCTTGGTGCTTGATGCAGGAAATCCCTCCACTGGATCTACCTGAAATACTGGCAAATCTAGTAAGGCAGTCTGAACCATTTTTGGATCAACTTGGTGTACGGAGAGGTATACATAAAAAACATTAACAGGCACCTTTATATTACTTTCTTCCATTTATCAATAGTTGACCCTCGTATATGTTCACACTGTTCAGATCAGTGTGACAAACTAGTGGAGGCATTGTGTAGAAAACAAAATCATTCCCTTTCAGAAGACACATCCTTGCATGTAAATGATAAGTCATCAGACGAACTTGACTTGAGAATCGCAAGCGTGCTTCAAAGCACTGGTTATCATGCTGATGATGGTTTCTGGAGTGAACCTGCAAAGTATGAGGTCTCAGACAATAAAAGACATGTGGCCATAGTCACCACAGCAAGTTTACCTTGGATGACAGGAACAGCAGTTAATCCATTGTTCCGTGCAGCATATCTTGCAAAAGGTACTAGACAAGATGTGACACTGGTAGTGCCTTGGCTCTGCAAATCAGACCAAGAACTGGTATACCCAAATAGCATGACCTTCAATTCACCAGAAGAGCAGGAATCTTATATAAGGAGCTGGCTGGAGGAAAGACTAGGATTTGAATCAAACTTCAAGATATCCTTTTATCCTGGCAAGGTTACCATTTAATTCATCTTATGTCAAATTTGATATTTTCATATGACTTGATATTGACATGTTATATGCTTTACAGTTCTCAAAAGAGCGGCGTAGCATCATTCCTGCTGGTGATACGTCTCAGTTCATACCGTCAAGAGAAGCTGATATAGCAATATTGGAAGAACCAGAACATCTCAATTGGTATCATCATGGGAAACGCTGGACTGACAAGTTCAACCATGTTGTTGGTGTAGTTCATACAAACTACCTGGAATATATCAAGAGAGAGAAGAATGGAGCCCTTCAGGCTTTTCTAGTTAAACACATCAACAATTGGGTGACCAGAGCATACTGCGACAAGGTACTTTGTCTAGCTTAGTTGTTTTTGTTAATTACACGAATGCCCATGAACACTCCTAGTGTTATCCATGTGTAGGTCTTACGTCTCTCTGCAGCAACTCAAGATTTACCAAAGTCTATAGTTTGCAATGTTCATGGCGTTAACCCAAAGTTCTTGAAGATTGGAGAGGAAATAACTGCCAATAGGGAGAGTGGAGAGCCACCATTTTCCAAGGGAGCATATTTTCTCGGGAAGATGGTTTGGGCCAAAGGTTATAGGGAACTCATAGATTTGATGGCTAAACATAAAAGCGACTTGGACGGATTCAAGTTAGACGTATATGGAAGTGGTGAGGACTCGCAAGAAGTTCAATCTACTGCCAGGAAGTTGGATTTGAGTCTCAATTTTTTCAAGGGAAGGGATCATGCTGATAATTCACTCCATGGGTATGTATCTATCATTAAACTATAAAGGGGTTGTTAATGCTCAATTAATTCTGTACTTCACTTTTTTTTTGTTGATTACTGATGCTGCCATTCGCTGTTTGTTATTTTCAGGTACAAGGTTTTCATTAATCCGAGCATTAGTGATGTCCTGTGCACAGCAACAGCAGAGGCTCTTGCAGTGGGGAAATTCGTCATCTGCGCAGAACATCCATCAAACGAGTTTTTCGTGTCATTTCCGAACTGCTTGACATACAAGACTTCAGAGGAGTTTGTTGCGAGAGTGAAAGAGGCAATGGATAGAGAACCCCAGCCGCTAACCCCTGAGCAAAGATACAACCTTTCGTGGGAGGCAGCGACCGAGAGATTCATGGAGTACTCAGACCTTGACAAGGTTCTGAACAATGAGGCTGCTCAGCCTGGACAAGGTAGGAATAGAAAGAATACAAGAACCTCACAGCCTAATTTGTCTGACATCATGGATGGTGGTCTGGCGTTTGCCCATCAATGCTTAACTGGCAATGAGGTCCTTAGGCTGGCAACCGGAGCCATTCCTGGTACCCGGGACTATGATAAGCAGCACTGTGTGGATATGGGTCTCTTGCCTCCTCAAGTACAGCACCCTATATATGGCTGGTGATGACTGGTGAGCACCCAAAGTTAATCGTAGGTATATATGTAGATAATACACCATGTAGTTCCCATGACGACCTATGGCCACTGTTTTGTACTCTGTAATAAGGTTCTTTCTCCTTAAATTTGGAGTTGTATTATGGAAATTTAGTGAAGGGCGGACCTGGTGCAAGCGGTAGAGTCTTACCGCCTGTGACTGGAAGGTTTCGGGTTCGAGTCGCGGTCTCCTCGCATTGCACAGGCGAGGGTAAGGCTTGCCATTGACACTTTTCCCCGGACCCCGCATAAAGCGGGAGCTCTCTGCACTAGGTACGCTCTTTATTACGGAAATTTAGCACATGGACATTAAAGTTCATGACTCCAGAAGACTAGTTCATGACTCCAGAAGACTGCCAGCATAATCTTTGTATGCCTTTTCCATTGAATCATATTCTCAAAGCCAAAGGGCTAAGAGCAGCTTCAGTGGTAGGTGAAAATGTTTTTTTCTTGTGGGTGGGGTGGGGGACCTTTCTCTTGCTGATTTGTTTCTCTCTCACAGCGTTCTCACACAACCAGAGCATCTTTGAGGGGTCCGGGGTTGGATTTTGCTCGGTTGAACAACAAAATTGAAACTGGTAGTGGCGTGGTGGAGCTGGAAATACACGCCCAGGGCCACTATCTGTGTGTATAAAAAAAAAAAAAATTGGCTTCATACCGATAGATAGCAAAAGGAGCATTTGCTGTTTTTCTTCTCCGCAAATTATTTGTAAAGAAGTCCTTGAATGGCTTGAGGAATGACTCTTTGTTTAATCTAAGTTGTTACATCATCATAAAATTCAAAGGTGTAGAAATTTTGCCTTTGCTAATTATGTTTTACATGGACTTCTTATTTAGGCATTTTTCTTTCCAAACTCGGACATAAATCAAACTAGTACTATTTTTAAATTTATTATTCCCAATTTACTATTTATTAGTTGTATTAGGCATGAACCTTTTGTGTAAATGAAGCTGTTAGATCATCAGAAAATCCAATAGCATATATAATAGTTTTCTTTCTAATTAAGGCGGTAATATCTGGACTCTCGAGATTAACGTGGTGGCTCTTTTTAACACTCTTCTAATAAGACTTTGTTCCTAGTGTAGTACAAAACATTGGTTCCAATATATTTTTTTGTTCCCTGTATTACAAAGTGAGACTGCATGATGTGTTCCAGGTTTACAGATCTTAATTTTATCAATATAAAGTTCTCGCCCACTTGAATGCATTTTTATTCTGGACAAATAAGGATCTGCATTGCATTCGATTGTCTAGCCCGCACAGTCATCAAACCATATATAGATTGATACAACCAAAAATAGTGTTATGTGTTAAAGAAACGAATGGATATATATTGGGTATGTGGCACGTTCAGTGGTTCCTGGTATAGCAGCTATGTTTTCAGACGGATATATCCACTTGCAAGCACTCAATATAGCTTGTAAGTGGTCATCTGCAGTCTACCTTATTCGGGGCAAGTTTTTAGACGTAGTAACTACTAATAGTTGGTGCATGTTCCACTACAAGAGAACTGGCGAACCTCAGGTTTGCATCTCTGATTGCATGCATCTCAACGGCTGCATCTCGTATCGGCATTCGCTCTCTGGGTTGCTGCTTCGAGCAGGATATGCCAATCCTAATGACAGAGATAAGAGATTCCTGAACTCTGCTTCTTGTGACCTTATCGCTGGCATCATTCTGCACCCATATTGCTGGATCAGCTATCTCCAAGATTTTGTTAGGGAGAGCAGCCTCCGAGAACTTGTGAAGATCTAATGATCCTGTAAACATATCGTCTGTCGGGCTCCTACCCGTAAACATCTCAAGTAGCAATATCCCAAGGCTATAAACATCACCAAGAGTTGAGACTGGAAAACCTTCTCCATACTCTGCAGTTAAGCAAAGTTTTTAATTACAATAATCAAGATGCAATATGCCAATATTTATGAAGGAACTAGGGTAATGCTAAAAAGTATGCAACAATTAATGTTTTTTTAGATAGTGGAAATAAAAGATGCAACAATTAATGTTAGTTACCTGGAGTAACCAATGGAGCCTCTTATCCCAATGGTGCTGTTTGAATTTTGCCCAGCTATGTTTGCACTTTGAAACAGGATCCTTGAGATACCGAAGTCTCCAACTCGGGCACTCATATCTTCTGCTAGGAGGATGTTGCTTGGCTTGACATCACAATGAACAACTGGTGGCTGACAGTGATTATGAAGATAGTCCAGAGCATCCATGACATCGACAGCAATATCTAGCCTTTGAGTTAGGCTCAAAGTATTGTTTAGAGTGGAGGTTCTGTACTTGGGATGAAGCTGTTAGTATCGATGATTACCTCTCTGTGTGACCGTAGATCCGGGTAGGCCTCTGCCCTGGGTTCCTCTTCACGCCTGGCTGCAGCCTCGCGGACGCCGGTAGTTGGCACGGTGGTGAGGAGGCGAGGTGGCAATGCCGTGGAGGTCCAGAGGGGACTGTGGTGACCCTGCAGAGGCAACGACGGTGGTGGCGGGCTCATCCCGTCGCTGGCAGCACGCTTTAGGATTGGATTAGGGTTTTCTCTGTAGGTGGGTGGCGGCTCCGTTCAACCTCGTGACCCGAGCCCAGTTCCCCACTCCTCTATATATATGTGCTGTGCGACAGGGGCCCACCAACCAGTTAGGGTTGGGCTCCCCCGATCAGGGAGCAGAGGCAAGAGCCCAATAGGCCGTTGGGCCTATTGGTGGAGATCAACTAACATTCTCCCCATTGATCTCATTCCATCTTTCAATTTCATATCATTTACTTTTGTTCATTCCATTACAGATTAGCGCATAGAGCATGTCTCATCGTCCCGGTCCATTGCCGATAGATTTAACAGCTACAACACACTCCTCTGTTCTGAAATAGATACTAATCTTTGGGCCTTCTTTTGTCTAGGAATTTTAGGCTTCCCTTAAACTCATGCTAGCTACATGTTCTCTGAACACCATGTTCTCTGAACATGTTGGGCGGTAAGCCTTTTGTAAGCGGATCCGTGAGCATCATTTCTGTACTTATATGCTCAAGACTTATGACTTGATCCCGGACTTTTTCTTTCACAACATAATACTCTATGTCAATGTGTTTGGCAACACCACTTGACTTATGTTGTGAGCATACTGTACTGCCAGATTATAATCGCAGTATAACTTTAGTGGTCTATAAATGTCGTCAACCACCTTCAAACCGGGTATGAACTTCTTTAGCCAGTTCATCTGCCCGTTACCTCATAACACGCTACAAACCGTCATACATTGTGAACGATGTAGTGACAGTTTGCTTTGAGCTTTTCCATGAAATAGCTCCCCTTTGCGAGATGATAGAAAATCCACGTCTGGATATGTATTCACTCTCGCATAATCAGAATCTGAATATCCCACTATGTGGAATGAATCAGATCTTCTATATGTCATCATGAGGCCTTTCGTTCTTTATAAATAATGCAAGACTTTCTTTACTAATTTCAGTGTTCTATTTCAGAATTGCTCTGGAATCTGCCAAGTAAAATCCGGTAACAAATGCCAAGTCAGGGCGTGTACATACTTGAGCATGTTGCAAACTTCCGACAGCTGAAGCATATGGAACCACTTTCACTTTATCAATTGAGCTCATATTGGTTCCTGGGGCATTGAAAATCCCCATATCTGTCGCCCTTGACTATAGGAGCAGGTGAGGGACTACATTTGTGCATACTGAATTTCTTTAAGATCTTTTTCATATATGCCTTTGTGACAGTCCTTATACCCTTTTTCTTCTATCTCGGTGAATCTCGATCCCTAGAACGAACGAGGCTTCGCCAAGATCTTTCATATCAAATTTCTTTGTCTCCAGTAGTAGACTGACATCACTACTAGCAAGTAAGATATCATCTACATATAGGATAAGGAAGATAAACTTCCCATTCTTAAACTTTGTATTGACACAATTATCATCTACATTCTCTTTACTTTGTATAGACACAATTGTCCTCTACATTCTTTTTAAAACCCAAAATTCTTTATTGTCTGATCAAACTTCAAGTACCACTGTCTTGAAGCTTGTTTTAATTCAAAAATGGATTTCTTTAGGCGGCATCACATTCGTTCTTTTCCTTCCATGATAAAACCTTTCGGTTGTGCCATGTAAACATTTTCCTCCAAGTCTCCGTTGAGAAATGCCGTCTTTACATCCATCTGATGTAATTCTAAATCGTAATGTGCCACTAATGCCATTATGATTCTGAAGGAAACTTTACATGAGACTGGAGAAAAGGTCTCATTGTAATCAATCCCTTCTCTTTGCATATAGCCTTTTGCCACAAGTCGCGCTTTATATTTCTCTATATTCCCTTGAGAGTCAAGTTTTGTTCTGTAGACCCATTTACAGTCTACTGTTTTGGCTCCTTTAGGAATTATTTTCAAGTCCTAAACTTTATTGGCATTCATTGATTTCATTTCATCTTCCATGGCCTCAAGCCACTTTGATGAATGATCACTTCTCATGGCTTCTTCAAATGAGGTGGAATCATCCTCCATTTGAAATTCCTCAGTGTTGTACACTTTATAATCAGCAGGAATAACTGATTTTCTAACTCTTTGAGACCTTTTAGGGGCCTTCACATTTGGCACATCTTCTGTTTAAGGCTGTTGTTGCTCCCCCTCATGTGTGGCAATAGGTTCTATAGAATTCTGAAGAAAATGTGTAACAGAACCGACCAATTATACGAAATTAAGTAAAAAAATCATTCATCAGAGCAGACGATTTAGCAAACTTAAGCCCATATAACCCGGTAGTCCGTGAAATCACGAAGGATTTCAAACCAACTCACATACCAGCCAAGATCATAATAAGTTTACGGTCACCATCACATATTACATAAAAGTTTGCATCACAGATACATCAGAGTTTAAACATAGTTATTACAAAACGAGTTTAAAATAGAAGTAGCGGAAGCCATTTGTTCAAAACCACACACACTCACACGGAGTTCAAATACAGTGCCAGCTAATGATCATCTCCAACAAAAGCATCAGACGAGACGTAAGGAATGACCATGCCCATGGTCCTAAGCATCACCCATCGCAGAATAAAGGCAGTTGATATAGTAGCCGTAATACATCTGTCCATCTGCAACAAGTGGGAATAAAACCCAGAGTACGAGAAGGTACTCAGCTAGACTTATCCGACATAACCGAAAATAAAGTGACACCAAGGATTATGAAGGGCTTTATAGTAGGGTAGCTGACTCATTTGCAAAAAGAGGCATTTTTAGTATTTCAAGAACCTTTCCAAAAGCATTATTGTCAAGTTAATTATTATTAACCTGTCAACTACATTTGCACCTATACTAGAGCAAGCATGTGATTAAGCAAATAATGATAACCAATGATCATTAACAACTTCCATAATGTCATATTCATTATAACTGTCCAAGTGTTCCATAATCATTACTACGATGAAGTAACTCAAGTCAAGTGCTCACTATCCAGGAGCGATGGCGATTCGAATCGATTCCTAACCAGTTGGTGATTTATTCCTTACACAAACCTCACTCACCCGCTAAAGTGAGGTATCGGTCACCGAGTCAACTATCCAGGAATCTCGAGTTTGCCAGGAACCACATGTACCCGGGGGTCGACCGACTGCTCTTTGGTCTTATCTTCGCGCCCCCGTGTCCTACCACACCTGCTCTGGCACAGTGCGCTGCAGGCAATCTACTCGGCCCGAATAATCTCCCAGCTTCGTGGTCGAAAGGTACTTTATTCGGTCAGCTAAATGTAAGGCATGCGTTCAACATGACCTAAGGCCCAACAACGGTCGGTCCTTAATCGACACAGACGGAAAGCACTACAGTCCAAAACTCTGTAAGTTTCCGTCCGGTCTCAACTTCATTTAACACTTAGTTATATCATGACTACATAGTTATCCAAGCAGATCCAGGTAACCACCTATAGCTCGCAGGTGACAGGAAATCACCCGACTTCTACCGGTCGAAGCCAGCTAAGCATTGATTCGACTGCGGATACCAGGGTAACAAGGATATAGTATAACAAAGGTAGAAAGGTATAATGCAGCAACGGTTGCAAACAACTCCTGAACGTAATGCATCAATTAAAGTAAAGCATTTAATTAATAATTGCAAACCGGGGAGAAAAATGCTCCGGGGTTTGCCTCTCTCGAAGGAGCTCGGGCGGTGATCGGGGCACTCCGGAAGTTCCTCAACGTCCTCCTCGTCTGCTTCGATCACTTCCTGCGGCTGCACCTCGAGCTGCTCCTCGGGCTCCTCGGGTATGACGACTGGGCTCTCGGTTTGCGATCCTGTATGATGCATGTGCGTAAGTGCTTATGCAAAAGGTGCATCGGATGAAATGAGCACAATGGATATGCTTGAATGCACGGTAGTCAACATCATCCAAGAACATGTACTACAAGCACATGTCATCTACTGCATTCTCTTCTACTACTAATATGCTAAGTCAACACATCTCATTAAATGCTTCAAAGATACACCAAAGCTTCACTAATTTCTTAATCATGCATAAAGCAACATTTGATTAAACCCTAATTAATAATAGGTTTGAATAGCAACATCTATTTTTATAGCTTAGAAAAATCTTAGAAAATTATCATAGCACAGTACTACCCTAAGTAGTCTACCATTAAATTTTTATGGCATTCGGATAAGTGGAATAGCCTACACAAAAATGACAAGCTATGGCATAATTATGAACATGAAAATACTTTGTACTGTGAAAAGTGTCAAACAACAGATGTAATATTTTTTCTATGTTCTACACAGCAAATAATCATTGTACAAAAATTATCACATGCATGTTTTATACAAATTTTGCTCTCTAGCAAAAATAACAAAAATCAGTCATTAAAGGCACTTGAACTACACCTCATAATTTTTCTATAGAACATGCATAACATATATTTTTCCTAGGAAGTACATTACACAAGAAGAATAACACACTTGGAAGCATATTTTTCTAAAACATATAGGATTTACTAACCATTTTACAAGATATCAGCAATATCAAGAATTAAATAAAGCTCTACATAAATGTATCCCAAAACTGACATGCAACATTTTTATATTGTAGATCTAAGAATAAGAAACACAAAGAAATTTGTTTCACCAAAATTGGGGCACCACAGCAGTAACTATGTATTTTAGAATCCTTTAAAAGCATTTTCCAGAAATCTTTTTCTTTCAAAAATGAAAATCAGCCGGGCGCAAACGCTGGGTGCACCCGGTGCTGTGCACCTGGAACTTCCACCGGCCACTGCGGCTGGGCCCTGCGGCCCCACGGGCCAGTGACCCGAGAGCAGGGGAGGAGCCCCGCCGACCGGTGCTCACTGGTGGCGAGCTCTTCCGGTGGCGCAGGCGGTGCCAGCGTGCACACCACGCTGAGCCGCACCGACTGGAAGGGTGGAGTTGGCCCGGCGGCGTGACGGACAGCTTTGAAGGTGGAGCACAATGACGGAGCAGACAGCACCGCCCTCGCCGCCGGTGTCTGGGCGGCAGCGTGGCGACCCAAAGCGGGAAGGAAGGCAGCCAGCGTTCTGCAGCGAGGCGCGCAGGCGGCCTAGCCTGCCGGGGGCCAGGGCGAGAACGAGCGAGCGAAGGGCGGCGCGGCGCGGAGGCAGGCCGAGCCGGCTTCGGTCGTGGGCCGAGAAGCGAGGGCGGCGGCCCGCTAAGGAAATGAAACGATTTTCTTTTTAAAATCTAAATTCAAACAGCCCCAAATTCATCATTTTGAGCAACAAAAATCATTTTCAAGATTTGGTGCAAAAATAAAAGTTGCACCATTTTTCGAGGTCTACAACTTTGCTTTTATGACCAAAATCAAATTCCAAGTAGATTTTGAATTACAAATAAAAATCAATAATAATTCAAAACCTAATTTTTGAAGAATTATTTTTAAAAGCATAATTTGGCAAAATTTTGAAAGTAAACTTTGCTCCAAAATGCATTCTAATTACTTCTAAGTTGTCTAGGTGATCAACCAAGGTACACACATGGCAAAACAAACATAGCATCCAATCTATTAAAACAAGACTATACACATACATGTTTCATTAATATATTTCAATTCTATATTTCATGTCATGCTTATGAATGCATAATAATGATTATGATCATGATTTGTAAAATATTAATGCATGCTTAGCATCGAGGTGTTACAAAAGGTTCCTCATCGTCATTTATTGTTGCCACAGGTGGGATAACAACAGGTGCTGACACCACAGTATCTAGCACTGTTGGTGCAGCACAGCAGGTAGTGAGAAAAATGGCTCATGAATCATTGGAGTGGGCGCATACACTCGCTTCACTTCAAGGTTAATTTCTCGAGCTACCATGCTTCCCCTCATCAATTCGTCCTCTAGGAAGACAACGTGTCTCATTTCCACAAACTTTGTATGTCTCTCTGGACAGTAGAAATAAAAACCTATTGACTTTTCTAGGTAGCCAATGAAATGGTAACTTACTGTTTTGGGAACTAGCTTCTCAATGTTTGGGTTAAATACTTTAGCTTCAGCAGGGCTCTCCCACACACACGCAAGTGGTTTAGTGAGCGTACTCTTTCTGTCCACAACTCATACGGTGTTTTGGGCACCGACTTTCTTGATACTCTATTGAGAATATGAATGGCGGGTTTTAACGCCTCCATCCACATGCTTAACTATAAGGTGGAGTAACTTATCATACTGCCCACCATATCCATCAGGGTATGATTGATTCTTTTAGCTACTCTATTCTGCTGAGGTTCACCCGGTGTAGAATACTGGGCTACTATACCATTCTTTTAGGGTATGCCGATTGTAGTACTCCCCCACGGTCAGACATGACTATCTTAATCTTTAATATCTTAAATTTATCCAATACATCTTTTCTTTCTTTGATTAGATAAATATAGCTATAATGGGAGTAATCATTTGTGAATGTCATGAACGAATCATAACCATCCACACTCTTTACAGGAAAGCTGACCACAAATGTCTGTATGAATAATCTGTAAAATTCCTGCGCTTCGTTTGTCATCTTTCTTTACATACTTTCCTTTTATGCATTCTGAGAGCTCTAATGGAGGAAGAATATCATTCTTAACTAGTCTTTCTATTCTCCCTCTCGAAATATGGTCTGAATGATAGTGCCATAATTTCGACAACGCAACGTGAGCTCTCTTATGCCACCTTTTCCAGATTAACACTCTATGACCAGCTGCTTTATCAGCTAAGTGTCATATGTCTTTGAAGAGCCAGTGAACTGACTCTTTATTCTATCGAGGTACTCGATGACCGTGTCACATTCTGGGATTGAGCCCATAATTGCAGGTTCAATCATGTTCTTTATCACAGCCAAACATTTCTTGTTTGCAGTGACCCACTTCCTATGCTCCAAAGCCATAGGATATCTTTTGGGATTCAAAATCCCTTTCTTTAGTTGCCTAAGTGGCATCATTCTCTTTTGTCTCCCTCACCGGTGCCACAATCTCAGTGGAACACGGTGAGGTGACTACCCAGTCCCATCAGTCAAGATGAAAACCAGGTCAAACTTTTTCTTAACATATAAATAACACCATTTGCATGCCTTGATTTCAACGTTGGTCAAAATCAAAACATACAACTATTCTTATACACTAATTCTACATTACCGTTGGGCAGAAATAGAATTAATGCATAAATCATTAACTTTCACAATTGTTCTTACACACTAATTCTACATCACCGTTGGGCAGAAATAGAATTAATGCATAAATCATTAACTTTTACAACTGTTCTCATACACTAATTCTACATCACCATTGGGTAGAAGTAGAATTAATGCATAAATCAATAAAATTATCAACTTTTCTTATACACTAATTCTACATCACCGTTGGGTAGAAGTAGAATTAATGCATAAATCATTAAAATTATGATATTGTTATTAACAACGTTCGTCAGAAAATAACAACATCATAATCATGTCAAATCTCTTTTTCTCTAATTAAATACCATATTGGTTCAAAAATAACTGGAGAATCAACAATTTATTTAGCAGCGGAAAAACTTTCTTTTTCTCCAATTAAATATCACATTGGTTCAAATAACTGGAGGATAAACATTTTCTTTAGCAGCGGAAAACTCTTACTCATTTCATGAATTTTACCCACAGGGAAAATTTACTTTTTCTATTTTCTTTGAGCTATTTTTTTTATTTTCCAGTAATTAGCTAATTTCTGGAAAATGAAAAAGAAAAACTGATATTGATTCTTTCACTATTTTCGGCCCAATCGGCAAAAACGGCCCACGGCCCACAGCCGCGCGCGCGCTCTCCTTCACGCTCCCCCTCGCCCAGGCCGCAACCTGGGCCTGGGCCGGGAAAGTGTCCTCATGCCCTCGCCCGCCTGGGCCGAAAGGCGGCCCGGTTGATCTGCGCCGTTGGAGCCGATCGGACGGCCGCGCGGCGTCTTCGGGCGAACAAAACTGCCCTCGGACGCGGTCCCCGAACCCTAGCGGCCATTCGGCCTTCTCTGCTTCTCTCTCTTCGTCGCCGCTCTCTCCTCTCTCTACCTCAGCGCAAACAGCAGCGACCGAGTGAGACGAGCGAGCGAGCGACAACCATGGCGCCGTCGCCGGCCCCCTCGCCGGCGCGCGTGCTCCCCAACGGGTGAGCACGTCGCCGTCGAGCGGCCTGGCCGCGGCGCTTCCTTGGCCGAGCCCGGCGAGCCAGCTTCCCCAGCTCGACTTCTTCTCCCGCGCCGGCGAAGGGACATCCCGACGCACGGCGAGGTAGATCCACCCCTTCCCCCTTCGGATTTGTATTGATCTTCCTTTCTTTTCGGATTTCATCCGAATGGGAAACTAGGGTTAGGGTTAGGGTTCCGACCCTTGTGCTTTTCTCTTCTTCTTCCCCAATCGGATCTAGATCTTGTTTGCTTTTCTTTGTTTGACCGATTGGGGTTAGGGTTCGTGTGCCGACCCCTTTTCTTTGTTCTTTTTCTTTTCGCTTGATCACCCGAAAAGGAGATCTAGGGTTAAGGTTCGGTTGAACCCGATCCGTATTTTCTTTTTGTTTGATTCGAGATCGAGATGCTAGGGTTCCTTTTCTTCTTCCCCTTCGGATTTGCTTTTGGATCTTTCTTTCCGTTTCGGAGTTCATCCGAAATGGGGATCTAGGGATAGGAATTCGTTTTCTTTTAATTTCTTTTCTTTTTGAAGTTCATCCGAATGTCTTCCGTTCCCCTTCTTCCCCTTTCCAATTCTTCTTTTGGGATTAACCCGATTTGGGATGGGGTTACAAATTAGGGTTAGGTCTTAGGGTTCGGCCAAATCCGAACCCACCCTGCTTCTTTCTACTGTTTCTCTTTCCGTTGAAGGCTTTTACGGGTTTAGGGTTTGGCCTCGTGTGCCGAGGGCTCGTTCTAGGGTTCACTGTTCTTCCCCGAGACTCATTCGCGGGTTAGGGTTAGTGAACCCCTTCTCTGTTCAGATCCGTAAGGAACTCTTTTCTTTTCTTGCCGCACCGGCACTTTTCCCCCGCGCGGTGACGGTGGTGATCGGGGTTCTAGTGACGTCCGCCACCCCCAGTCCCTTTTCCGTTTCTTTTACCTGGTTAGGGTTAGGATTACACAGAGGCAACCTGGCTCTGATACCATTGTTAGTATCGATGATTACCTCTCTGTGTGACCGTAGATCCGGGTAGACCTCTGCTCTGGGTTCCTCTTCACGCCTGACTGCAGCCTCGCGGACACCGGTACTTGGCACGGTGGTGAGGAGGCGAGGTGGCAATGCCGTGGAGGTCCAGAGGGGACTGTGGTGACCCTGCAGAGGCAACGACGGTGGTGGCGGGCTCATCCCGTCGCTGGCAGCACGCTTTAGGATTGGATTAGGGTTTTCTCTGTATGTGGGTGGCGGCTCCGTTCAACCTCGTGACCCGAGCCCAGTTCTCCACTTCTCTATATATATATGTGCTGTGCGACAGGGGCCCACCAATCAGTTAGGGTTGGGCTCCCCCGATCAGAGAGCAGAGACAAGGGTCCAATAGACCGTTGGACATATTGGTGGAGATCAACTAACAGAAGCCAACCATCTAAGCTCCCATTGAGCATGAGGTTCATGACCAGTGCCTTAAAATGTTGACCTTGGTTATCTATGCTTGAGCAGAGCGTGATGATCTTTATGAGATAACGGTGGCGTACCCTTCTCAGCGCCTCACATTCAGTCTGGAAACTCTTAGAAGACCCTGATTGCTGAAGGTTAAATACCTTTACAGCCACTGGTGTTGGTGTATCCTCACCTTGTAAACTGCATTTGTAAACCGAGCCATATCTTCCTTTGCCAAGCAAGTTAGATTCTGAAAATCCATCTGTTCCCCTCAACAAGGCCTGATACGTAACTCTTTGGAAGTGTTCCTGAGTAACTGCTGTAGGTGGCGCTTGACTCTTCGGCCCTTGCTTAGCTTCCAAATAGTTACAGCGACTGAAACTAGCAATAACATTGCTCCAGTTGTTGCCAGAGAAATGATCAGAGGCTTTGACCTATATTTTTTGCTCTCTCTTACAGGATGCGTGGAGCATGGAGCCAAGCGAAGCTGAGGCATTCCACCGCACAGCTTGCTGTTTCCAGTTATTGATATGGCAGTCAAGTTGCCGAAAACACCCCCATTGGGCACTTCACCCTGCAAATCATTGAAGGATGCATCAAATGCGAACAACGATGTTAGTTTCTGTAGAGACGCTGGGATCGGTCCTGACAGGTTGTTGTGCGCTAGATACAGCCCTTGCAAGGCGCCAATGTTGCCAAGGGCATCTGGTATCTCACCTGACAATTTGTTGACGGTCAGGGCCTTGTTTAGATAGCTGTTAGGAATCAGTATTCGACACTGTAGCACTTTCGTTTGTATTTGACAATTATTGTTCAATCATGGTCTAACTAGACTCAAAAATTCGTCTCATAATTTACAATCAAACTGTGTAATTAGTTATTTTTTTTATCTACATTTAATACTCCATGCATGTATCCAAAGATTTGATGTGACAGAGAGAAAGTGAAAAAACTTGGAATTTAAACAAGGCCCATGTTTAGTTCCCGGAGCCCTTTGACATTCTTCATAGATTGTGGTACGTTTCCTTCAAACATGTTGTCATCCAGCACCAACGACTCTAGTACTAGGCAATTGCCGATGGTATCTGGTATGTGGCCGGACAACTGATTTCCTGACAGGATCAACTGGTTGAGATTAACCAAGTTACCAACTTCTGACGGAAGGGGTCCTGAGAATGAATTGTGTGATAACTGCAGGCTCAAAGAAAGGGATGGCAGAAAAACCTCCTTGGGAATTGTACCATTTAACAGGTAGTTCTCTGACAGATCAAGGAGATACAGGTTCCTTAGTTTGCCAAGGCTTGCGGGAATTGGTCCTTCCAAGTTGTTACTGTATGCAACAATCTCATTAAGAAACCGGCTTGTTCGGCTTGTTTTTTCAGCCAGAACAGTGTTTTTCTCTCACAACAATTCAGCCAGAACAGTATTTTTCAACCAGTTTCAGCCGAGTTTGAGCAAGCCGAACGGGGCCTAAGCCGTGTAAGGTTTCCAAGTGAAGATGGTATGAGGCCTGATAACCTGGTTCTGTACAAGCCAAGCTTAACCAAGTTTGCTAGTTTACCGATGCTGTCTGGGATCACTCTGGATATTGAGGTGTTTGCAAAATCAAGTACTGAATTGGCTTATAAGCCATGACTGAAAGTACTGCTAGCTGATTTGGTGTGAGAGAAAAATACTGTTTAAGCCGTGGATTATAAGACAGATACAAGCGAATAAGCTGAAACGAACACAGGGTTAGCCCAACCAAATTGCTGATGCCCTGCAGGATGCTGCCCGAGATGCCACAGTCTGACAAATAGAGATACTGCAGCGTGGTTGACAGGTTTACCACCGATCTGGGGAGCTGCCCACTGAAGGAGTTGTCACTGAGGCTCAGCTGCAGCAGGTTGCTGCAGTTCGCCAGCGAAGCGACGAAATCCCAGCTCTCCGTGTCGGCTGCCTCAAGCAGGTTGTGGGACAAGTAGAGGATCTGAAGATGCTCCAGCCTCCCGATATCGCGAGGCACGAGTCCAGTGAATTCGTTGATCGAGAGCTGTAGGCTTGTGAGAGTGGTGAGATTTGAGAGGGAAGAAGGGATGCGTCTGGTGAACCTGTTGTTGGCAAGGCTGAAGTCTTCCATGGCGGGGAACTTGCTGCCGACGTTGGCGGGAATGCTGTCATGGAGCTGGTTCCCTTCCACGTGGAAGGCCTTCAACGACGACAGATTGTACATGGCGAGCGGGAGCGCGCCGCGGAGCTTGCTCACGGCGAGGTCCAAGGCCCGGAGGCCGGCGAGGTTGGCGAGCCCCTGTTGGGTTAATCAAGCTTGTGCACGTGCCAGTTGGCTTAGCTGGCGAAGGCCCTGTTTGTTTCCGCTTCTCCTAGCCACGCTTAGATTATAATCTAAGCGAAGATTTTCTCGCTTCTCGCTTTTCACTTCTCTGAAGCGGCTTACCACATAAGCGAGAATCGATGGAAATAAGCAAAGCGTTTGGCGGGATTCTCGCTTATTTCCACCGACAAGCCGCTTATAAGCGGAAACAAACAGGCCTGAAGCCAAGTCAGCACGAGGCGGGAGAAGCCAAGTTTAAAAATCCAGCAACGAGCGGTGCGCGGAGAGCGCGCCCACGACGTCGCGGTTCTGCAGCAGTTGTGTTGTGAGCAACTTGTATCCGTGTGTTTAGCAATTTTCATTAGTGTGTGTGCTGTGTATTAGCTTTGGTATAAATAGCTGGGTCATAGCACTTGTTAGTTGCAGCTCCGCACAGAGTAATCGTGCTTTGTAATTCGAACTATCAATAGTGAAAAGGGGCACTGTCTCCCTGTAGACAACTGCCGGTTGCCAGTTCACGAACTCTGTGTTCTTGATCTGGATCTTGATTCTCTAGATCTCGTGATTGTCTTAGGTTAGCCACTCAATTGGACGCGTGATCGTGATCTTGGTGCTATCAATTGGTATCGGAGCCATCAATCGCGTTGCCTTCTACCACCATATCCACGATGAACGAGTCATCTCGGAGCGGCGGCGGGGGTACCGACGGTGCAGGCGATGGGGGGCGGGTGGTGTACCCGCCGCTCACAGCGACCAACTACGTCAGTTGGAGCATCCGAGTACAAGCCATCATGGAGGATCAGGGGGTTTGGGAGGTCGTTGAGCCGTGGGAGGAGACATCCGGTGCGACGCTGACGGCGTCGCAGACGGCGGCGAGGTCAGCAAAGGACAAGAAGGCGCGGGCGCACCTCTTGCAGTGCCTGCTGGATGACCTGCTGATGCAAGTGGCGATGAAGAAGACGGGGAAGGAGATCTGGGAGTGTCTGAAGACGAGGTTTGTGGGCGCCGATCGGGTGAGAGATGCGCGCCTACAAACGTTGAAGGCGGAGTTCGATGCTATGAAGATGAGGGAGGACTAGCCCCTGGACCAGTACGCTGGGAAGCTGATAGCTATGTCGGTAAAGTATGGCAATTTGGGGGGGGGTCACTGGATGACGCAGCCATGGTCAAGAAACTGTTCGACACGGTGCCCGATCGTTTCATCAGCGTGGTGGCGGGCATCGAACAGTTCTATGACCTCAAGACATTGCCGTTCGAGGAGGCGATCGGCAGACTGAAGGCGTTTGAGGAGTGTATCCAGCGGGGTGCTGGAGGAGCCGGCGCCAAGACAGATAGCAGCGGGCAATTGCTGCTCACTCACGCTGAGTGGGAGTCGCGGCAAAAGAAGTCTGGGGGAGAAGCCTCGGGGAGAGGGAGATCACCAGATGCGAGCGGCCGTGGTCGTGGTCGGGGCCGGGGAAGAGGCTGTGGCCATGGCGGGCGCGGAGATGCGCAAGGTCGTGATGGTGCTGTGAAGAAAGGGAAGGAGCACATTCAGTGCTTCAATTGCAAGGAGTATGGGCACTATGCGAATAGATGCCCAAAGGAGAAGAAAGGAAAGAGGCTCATCATGCCAGAGTGGAGAATGTTGAGCCGGCGCTGATGCTCACTGTTGCAGAGGTGCCAAAAGCGTCCAAGTTGGCACCAAGTCTGAAGAAATCTTCAGGGGAGCGGCATGCTGTCTACCTGAAGGAAGATCGAGTCTACCCGGAGCTGCATCTCACTGGTGGTGGAGTGAACACTGGTAATATCTGGTATTTACATAATGGTGCAAGCAATCATATGACTGGGGATCAGGGTAAATTCAAAGATTTGAATAGAGACATAACTGGTAAAGTTAGATTTGGGGATGGTTCTGCTGTTGAAATCATGGGGAAGGGTACTGTATTGTTTCAGTGCAAAAACAGTAGTCAGTGGTTACTCCATGAAGTGTATTACATCCCTAAACTGAAAAGCAACTTAGTGAGTTTGGGTCAACTCACTGAAGTGGGTCACAGAGTGGTGCTAGATGATGATTTTCTTGAAGTAGTTGATAAAATGTCAGGAAAACTGGTTATGAAAGTGACTAGATCAGTTAACAGATTATACAAGATTGAACTGTGCTTGGCTGATCCTATTTGTCTAATGGGGAGTTTGGAGGAAACTGCTTGGTTGTGGCATGCTCGGTTGGGGCATGTAAATTTCAATGCTATGAAACTGTTAGTGGAGAAGAATATGGCTGCAGGAGTGCCAATGATATCACATCCAGAACAAGTTTGTCATGGGTGTTTGGCAGGGAAGCAGTCTAGGATGTCATTTCCAAAAACAACAAGTTTCAGAGCTGAAAAACCACTGCAACTGGTATATGTTGATTTGTGTGGTCCTATAACTCCACCTACACCAGCTGGCAATAAATACTTCATGTTGTTGGTAGATGATTTCAGCAGATGGATGTATGTATCAATGCTAAAGACTAAGGATCAGGCCTGTGAAGCCTTTGTCAAGTACAAAGCAGAGATTCAGAATCAAACAAATTGTCAGGTCAAGATTCTTAGATCAGATAGAGGTGGAGAATTTCTATCAAAACTCTTTGCAGGTGTATGTGAAGAGAGTGGCATCAAGAGACAGCTGACAGCACCCTACTCACCACAACATAATGGTGTGGTTGAGAGGAGGAACAGGTCTATCATGGAAAATGGCAAGGTCCATGCTAAAGAGAATGAAAGTTCTAGGGTGATTTTGGGGTGAAGCTGTCAGACATGCAGTGTACCTGCTGAACAGGTTACCATCTAAGCCTATGGGGGAGCAGACTCCATATGAAGCATTACATGGAAGAAAACCACATCTTGGCCACTTGAAGGTATTTGGCTGTCTGGCTCATGTGAAACAAACAACGCCTCATCCAAAGAAATTGGATGACAGGAGCAGACAGATGGTATACTTGGGTGTTGAAGAAGGTAGTAAGGCTCATAGGTTATATGATCCTGTGCAAAGGAAAGTTGCAGTAAGCAGAGATGTGAACTTTGAGGAAGCAGTTGAGTGGAGGAACAACGGAAGAAAATCAGATGGATTTTTAGATGGATAAAGATGCTTTTGTTAACAACACAGATTGGGAAACAATTAGTGTTGAAGGTGACATACCACTACCACAACAAGAGCCAGGAGGTGCTCAGTCTGTAGAGAGCTCAGGCAGTGTGCCAGACATGCTACAATCACCACATTCAGAGCCTGCATTTAGTGAAAATGCAGATTTAGAACTGCAGATGAACTCAGAATCACATAACAATCATTCACATGGTTCAGGTGATGTTGGAGAACACTCACATCCAGAGCTTGTGACAGATGATCTGTCTGATGAGGAACCACAGCATTTCAAAGATCTCAGTGAAATCTATCAGAACACTGAAGAAGTTGAGTTGGCAGATTCAGATGCAGAAGCATTGTTGGCAGAATCTGAAGAACCAACTTGTTACAAAGAAGCTGCAGAAAATCCAGATTGGATGCAGGCTATGAAAAGTGAGTTGCAGTCTATTCAGAAGAATGTAACTTGGGAGCTGGCAAAGCTACCAGCAGGTCACAGACCCATTGGGCTTAAGTGGGTGTTTAAACTAAAGAGAAATGTTGATGGTGATGTAATCAAGCACAAAGCCAGGCTAGTTGCAAAAGGTTATGTGCAGAAAAAGGGGATTGATTTTGAAGAAGTTTTTGCCCCTGTTGCCAGAATTGACAGAGTCAAGTTGATTTTAGCTTTGGCAGCAAACAGAGGTTGGAAGATTCATCATCTTGATGTAAAAACAGCTTTCTTGAATGGAGAATTGGAGGAAGAGGTTTATGTGAGTCAACCTGAGGGATTTGCTGTTAAAGGCAAGGAACATCATGTTCTGAAACTCAGCAAGGCCTTGTATGGGCTGAGACAAGCTCCAAGAGCATGGAACATCAGGCTAGACAAAAGTCTAAAGAATTTCGGGTTTACTAAATGTGCTAGTGAGCAAGCTATGTACAAGAGAGGAAACGGCAAGAATGCAATCATCTTGGGGGTGTATATAGATGACTTGTTAGTCACTGGAAGTCAGACGGACACAGGAGATTGAAAAATTCAAACGGCAGATGACTAAAGAGTTTGAAATGAGTGACCTTGGACTGTTGTCTTACTATCTTGGCTTTGAGGTAGAGCAACATGAGGACTTTCTTACTCTGAAACAGTCAGGCTATGCAAGAAAAGTGCTGAGCAAGTTTGGTATGGATGAGTGTAATCCAACCAAGATCCCTATGGACCCTGGTACTAAACTGCATGAGGATAAACAGGGACAGAGAGTTGATGCATCTGAGTACAGAAGTGTGGTTGGCTGCTTGAGGTATCTGCTACACACAAGACCTGACCTTGCTTTTTCAGTTGGAATTGCAAGTAGATACATGGAGATGCCCACTGTCATGCATTTGAAGACAATGAAACAAATCATGAGGTATGTGAAGGGGAGTCTGGAGTATGGTCTTGTGTACACCAAAGGAGGAAATCCAGAGGTGTTGGATGGTTATTCAGATAGTGATCTAGCAGCTGACCTGGTGGGAAGAAGAAGCACAGCTGGCATGGAATTTTATTTCAATGGGTGTCTGGTGACATGGTGCTCACAGAAACAGAAAACAGTGGCACTATCTTCCTGTGAAGCTGAGTTTATGGCAGTAACAAAGGCAGCAATGCAAGCTCTTTGGCTCAGGAGTTTGTTGGCAGAAATCACTGCAACTGCACCCAGGGTTGTGACATTGTTTGTGGATAACAACTCAGCTATTGCATTGATGAAGAACCCAGTGTTTCATGGGAGAAGCAAACACATTGATATTAGATATCACTTCATCAGAGAGTGTGTGGAGAGGGGGCAGATTGAGGTGAAAAGGGTCTGCACTGATGAGCAAAAGGCTGACCTGTTGACAAAGCCATTAGCAGCAGGAAAATTTGCTGTGATGAGGCATCTGATAGGTGTTCGAGATGTCATTGCACAGCAAGATTAAGGGGGAGATTGTTGGGTTAATCAAGCTTGTGCACGTGCCAGTTGGCTTAGCTGGCGAAGCCAAGTCAGCAGGAGGCGGGAGAAGCCAAGTTTGAAAATCCAGCAACGAGCGGTGCGCGGAGAGCGCGCCCACGACGTCACGGTTCTGCAGCAGTTGTGTTGTGAGCAGCTTGTATCCGTGTGTTTAGCAGTTTTCATTAGTGTGTGTGCTGTGTATTAGCTTTGGTATAAATAGCTGGGTCATAGCACTTGTTAGTTGCAGCTCCGCACAGAGTAATCGTGCTTTGTAATTCGAACTATCAATAGTGAAAAGGGGCACTGTCTCCCTGTAGACAACTGCCGGTTGCCAGTTCACGAACTCTGTGTTCTTGATCTGGATCTTGATTCTCTGGATCTCGTGATTGTCTTAGGTTAGCCACTTAATTGGACGCGTGATTGTGATCTTGGTGCTATCAGCCCCGGCGGGATCTGGCCGTCGAACTGGTTGTTGGCGAGGGCGAGGTGGCGTAGAGACGACATGTTGGCAAGCGACTCCGGGATAGGCCCCGTGAGGCTGTTGTTCTTGAGACGGAGCACCTGGAGCCGCGTCAGCCTGTCCCCGAACTCTGCAGGCACGCGGCCGCCAACGTTGTTGGCGTCGAGGAACATTTCCTCCATGGCCTCGCAGGAGCTCAGGTTGGCGGGGAACCTGCCGGAGAAGGTGTTGTAGCCGAGGTCCAAGTAGCGGAGGCGACGGAGACGGCCGAGGCTGTCTGGGACGTCGCCGTGCAGCCAGTTGAATCCCAGCTCCAGTGCTTGCAGGAACGTGAGGTTCCCGATGGCCGGGGAGAGCGTCCCGGCAAGCCCTCTCATGGGCAGGTTCATCCCCACCACCCGCGGTGTGTTCCGCGTCTTACCACGGGTGCACGCCACTCCCTCCCAGCTGCAGAACCCGGTGCTGCCGTTCCACGACGCCAGCGCGCCGCCGTCCATGGTGAGCTCGGCCTTGAAAGCGAGCAGGGCGGCCTCATCGCCAGGATGGAGAGGCCCAGCATACATAGCAAGCTCCTCTCACGAGTCACGCATCGACGTATGTTTTGCCATGCCCTTCTTACATTACATTGGTTAATTGGTGGAAGAAGGAGCTATATGGTTGAGTAGCAGCAGGAGCGTCCGTACGTCTGTCTCGATCATCTTTGCGCGCGTGCCGATGTCGCTGAAAACTTGAGGCTTCCTTTTTGACGCTGGATGGATGTGGTGTGCGAGAAGAAAACGTCGATGAATGCTTCCTTTTTACGCTGTATGTCGTTGGAAATTTTGAGGCTTCAGAAGAGAGCACGAATGAATGGACAAGGTCGGATCGGAGGAGAGGCCCGTTTGATGACACGGCGACAGCGTTCGTCTTAATTTCTTCGCGAGTAGTGACACGCAAATATGAATTCGTGAAAATTGTGCTGCGTCTTCAGTCACGTCTTAGTCACCCCCAGTTGATGTCTCCCGGTGACTTCATTCATCAGTCACGCTTGCAGCAGCAGTCTAATCTACACTATAAAAGAACACTCAAAGCAAAGTTTGGTACACCTCACGTTTGTGTCTTCGTTCTCCGCTGAGATAGTTCAACCATTGTGTACCAAAGATTTTATACCTAGGAGTTTAACATCATTAAGATCAACTAATCCATTAACCCGTGCTCTTGCACGGGCTAGAATTTTAGGAGATATAAGTATTAGTTACTATTTAATACATATGACTAATAAAGAATTTATTGTATTAAATTGTATGTTTTTCTATTTGTTTATTTTCTAACATAATATACATAATAGATATTCTATAGTCTATATATAGTTCTTTTAAACTTATTAACTACTATTTTTCAAGGGACTAATCTACATATATTTCATACATATTCATATTTTTCTCTTTGCATGGCGCCTCTATATATTTTTAATATGAAATTAGTTTGAAACCTTACCATTAATTAAGGTTACTATTATTGCATCACGTATCTTATGAAGTCATGAGTCTATTTTTTTTAAATTTTATAACTGTTACAGGTTTTTTCCCTTCTCAAGTTAGTAAGTTGAAATTTGTGTGCTTATTATATCTTACATTAACTCTCTTTTTTTCTTTTTTAAAATAAGGATTTTAGGTCATAGCGTATGTTCTTAAATATTGTACAATATTACAATAACATAAGTCATCATGTGAAACGTGCACTATGTGGCTTAAGATAAGTGATAGAGCTTGAAGTGAGATCTCAAATGGGGGTAACAATGCTAACTTCAAAAGAATTTTAATACTTAAGTCCTATAATGATCGACTTTTTACTTTAAAGTATTCTTAAAGGGTCAAAAAAGTGATTGAATTTTCCAATCAAGAAACTATACATGCAGTTATGCTTATACTACCAATATAGATGTGTCAAACATTTTAGTTAAAAATATGTAAATATATCTAAAGTAACAACCTATATAAATTATATTTCATGGTTACTAAAATGATTTAAAAAAATTGTTAATATAATTTGTATATGAACTGTTATGGAAATATTTTTTATGTGATCAAACATAATTTATATATTTTGCTCATACATGCTCGCACGACAGTATGTTTACTTTAGTTAGATCTTACTATATTAATATTGATAGATGTGGGCATCGTAGAAACATATATATGCTCCATGGTAATCTAAACAATTTTCTTGTAATAGAAAAGATGTTGATAATTTAGACGTAGATTTGAGGGAGTATTTGATTTTTCTAATAATGAGATGAAAATTGAGTTATGTAAATTATCAATCATAATAGGAGGGCATGGATAATTAGATGCGAATTTAGGTCCACTTTCGATCATGTTTCTTAATAGCTTAGGTTGGTAATATAAATATAGAGTCATGGGTTACTTTATAATGTTTTACACAATAGCAGTGTTGGATAATTATTAGAAAATAGAATTGATTCAATAGTTATTATTATCAATGGTGATTAGGTTATACTAAATTGATGGTCAGATGTTTTTGATTTTTGTGAGAGTTTTTAGGATCTATCTTTTGTTTTCCTACCGCGTCTTCTGAGGGTTAACATGCAGGCTATATTGGGGACTTTTAGTTGGAATTTCAACTATTTATTATTTTTTCTAGCGTGGTATTTATTTAGTTGAAACCTAATCTTAAGATATATAAACTCTTGTTGCGTCGCTTCCTGTGACTTCATGAGTCTATAGTTTAGCTTTAATCAACTTGTTGCAACTTTTTCACATGTTAAGTAGACATTCTAGTTTTCTTTGTCTTTTTTATTCAATTTTTGTTTTCTTATTAAAAAGAGTCTAGGTCCTAGGTGTATTGTTATATCACATAATTATTTGTGTGTACACAAATTATACTCCGTCCTTATTATAGACACATGATTTCTATTATATACGTAAACATAATGTATATTTAGGTGTATAGCGAAAACTATGTACAAAATAATATAGGACTTACAATTTGGAATGAAAGGAGTATATAGCTGGAGGTTAAATGTTTGACAAAGAGACTTTTTGCATTATTACTCAAACTCTGACCTGGATTATGGTAATTTAATTTCATGGTTGTAGAAGTTTGTAATTTAAAATTATATATATGTATCGTACATTAAGGATATTGATTTTATAATAATATTGTCGGTACAGAAAGTGACCAACTAGTAAATATTTATAGTTTTGCCATACGTTGTGATCGGAAGTGGCCTAGCACTCAATGACACAGGGTTTATACTGGTTCAGGTAACGTGCCCTACGTCCAATTTGGGTCGGTGTCGATGTTTCACCACCGATAGCCTGCCACGGGGGTACCCGGGGCAGTTTATTCGGGCTTTGGCGTATGCAGAACTCGACGGTAAACGCAAGAGACGGTCGATTTATCTTGGTTCGGGCCCTCGACCGTGATAGAGTAATAGCCCTACGTCCAATTAGCGTTAGCCTTTGAGTTGGATTGATTGTCAACTGTTCATCTCTAGGAACCCCGCCCTCCTTTATATAGTCAGGAGGCCGGAGTCCTAGTCGGTTTACAATGAGAGTTCATAGTAGAATTACAGAATAATACTACTACGAAGGTTACATGAAAAGAATCCTAGTTAGATTAGATCTTCTCTCTTCCTTGCGGGGTATCCCGTGGGTCCCGCATCGACAAGGCTCCGAGCACTTCATGGTTGAGCTCTGGAAGCCTCGTCTTATTCCTTCAGGTCTTGCCGAGTAGGAACAAGCATCGTCCGAGTGCTTTCTTGAGTGAAACCGTGTAGCGCTTAGTGAGATCTCCGGGTGGTGTGTACCTTTTTTTTGAAGAAAAAGTACTCCCATCTGGGTGTAGCCCCCGAGCCTCTTGCTATTTGGAACAAGGAGCTGGAGGGTCTTGTCTTGAAATTGCTCTAATTCTTCGTCGAAGGGCTCTCGAGCATATACTCGGATATAGCTCGGTCCGGGTTCTTTTTGTTTTGAGGCCTTGAATTGGTCTGTCTTGAAGTAGTCTTCTTGGTGACGTGCATTTTTTCAGAGAAAAAAGTGCACTTACTGAGTGTAGCCCCCGAGCCTCTTGCTATTTGGAACAAAAAGTTGGAGGGTCTTGAATCTTATGTTGTTTGAAAACTCTTGTCTTGAAGAAGTCTTCTGAGTGATGTGCGCTTTTTTTTAAGAAAAAGTGCACTCACTGAGTGTAGCCCCCAAGCCTCTTGCTATTTGAAACAAAGAGTTGGAGGGTCTTGAATTTGAGTTGTTCAAAGAACTGAAAATCTCTCCTGTTGTAGCCCCCGAGTATATATCTGGGTTCTTTTATTCAAAAAGAACTCGGATACAGGATCTTGGCATATTCTCTAATAGTCTGCTGTTGTCAGATGTAGTTGTATGGTGGTGGTTGAGTGTAAATGCTGTTTCTTCACGAGTTGTACAGTGTTGGTATATTCTTCTGAATATGCTCGTTCTTGAGTATTGTTCCTTCATGTCTGAGTCCTCTTTCATTGAATTCTGACTTTTCACTGTGTCCTTTGTTAGGTTTGTTCCGTTGGTGCTCTCGGTCTATGTGCACCGCTTCTTTGGTCTATAAATACCCTCCTGGTGTGCTGTTTTGATTTATCGAGCATTTTGTTGCGTGGTCTGAAATCTCTGTCGTCATGAATATGATAGTTTGTGAAGTAGAGCAGCCCCCGGGCTTATTTTATAGTTCTTGTATATCTTGTTGTAGCTAGAGGGAGTCTTGTGATAGGGATTAGAGGTAGACTAATCTCGCAGTGACATTGTACCAGGAGGTACATGACGGTAGTTGGAGGAAGTCTTGTGATGTGGGATACGTTCCTTCATCTAGCAGTTCTGGGTTGATCTTTCTCGTCTGCCCTGTGACTGTCCGGTGCAGATCAACACCTGATCCTGCATCACGTTGGGCTTGGGTAGATAGATGCTTGCAGGCCTCCCTTGGTCCATGTTGTCCTACCGTGCTGCTGATTTCTGCCTTGGATATACTGCGTTCGTCCTTTGAAGAAAACAGTGTATCCGAGTGTGGTTTGTTCTTTCGAGTAGTAATTTGGAGCACGTAGTCGTTCTAGAGCCTAGCTGTGTTCGTGTTCCTTTTTGCTACATTGCTTGTCGTAGTACTGAGTTTGTTGGGTCTTGTAAGATGTGTAATCTTGTATTTTTTGAAGCCATTTGTAATGGAAAGAATCTTGTTTTCTGAGTTGTCATTCTTTTTTCTGCTGATGTTCTAGTTGTTTATGAGATTCCCGAGTTCTTTCTATAAGAACCGGGTTCTTGTGTTCCTTGTGAGGTAACCCTTCGTTGCTTCATGGTTGACGAGTTCTTTTTGTAGCAATATGATAACTCTGCCGTGGTGCTGGATGGATAAGTTTGAAATCTGCCCGTTGAACTGTACCTTTGTGTAGAAGTGTGTCGTCCGTCATTTCAACTGTGTCAGTTGTGGTGAGAAATGGATCGTTGCGTTCTCATGCCGTGTTTAAACGGGCCTGGTGGGC